AGGAAGGACGGAAGGAAGGAAGGAAGGAAGGAAGGAAGGAAGGAAGGAAGGAAGGAAGGAAGGAAGGAAGGAAGGAAGGAAGGAAGGAAGGAAGGAAGGAAGGAAGGAAGGGCTTATGAGAGTGAGGGAGAATCTGAGGGAAGTCCTGCCTTAGCATTTGGCCACCACAGGTTCCCCTGACACAAGTGACGTTGATCTGGCCACACCTACCCTAGCCATGCCCACCCCAGCCACGCCCACCCTGGCCTCCTGAGGTCAAACACAACTCTGATGTGACCCTCAATGAAATAGAGTTTGACACCCTTCCTCTAATGTCAATCAATCAATCATCAGAACCCAGGAATTGTGTCTTTTCTGTTGTGGTGCCTGGCCTTTGGAATGATATCCTACCCCTCAAAATTCATGTTTCTCCCACCTAGTTGATGTTCCATAAAGTCTTAAAGACCTGGATCTTGAGATGAGATAGACAATCCCTTGCAGGAATTTGTTACTTTTGTTTTCTATCTGAATATTTGTCTGGATTCTATCTTGGTTTTGGTTTATTATTTGTGAACTACCTAGAGTTAGTCAGAATCAGATGGTGTCCAAATTGAATAAATAAAATAAAATAAAATATCCATATTCAGATGAAAGTGGTGCGGCCTGCTTTGTTTTCCTCACCTGTTCCTTACTTTGGAATTCAGAGAAGTAATCAAAAATAGCTTACAATAAAAAATAACAGAAATAAAAACAAACTGTTATAAAAATATGTAGAATAAAAAGAGATAGAGATAAAAAGGGAATGCAAATGACATTGGGAATAGAATTTACTACAGGGAAAGGAAGCCAAAAGCACTTTGAATTATGCAAAGCACTAGAAGCATCTTATTTTGAAGCATTTCAAATCTGAAATGACTGTTTCTGATACAATATGGGCTGTTTCCAAGTGTTTTGAAAATGTTTCACACTCTGTAAATTATTGTTCCAAGTTCAACATACTGCCAAAATCTTCAGTATAAGCAGTATAGAAATCTATGAAAGGCAAGGTAAATCTGATACTTCTCAGGCCACCGTTGATCTCAAAATGGGAAATTTCATGCTCAAAACAATTTGAAATGATGTCTTTTGCACCCCCTTCCTGGGAAATTATTGTATTTAAAAGCTGGCACTATCTTATCCTTCTATTTGGTCTGGCGTCACAAGTTCCTGGCTGCTGTCTAGGATTAGTTTAAGATGCTTAGAGGGCTCCAGATTAACCAGACCTTAAATTAGAATTCATTAGAATGAAATACTGTCTCCCTTTTCAAGCATATAACGAATGCAGTTTGTTATTTTGGGGGAGTGGAATTGCATCATAAATATAAAATGCAACTTTAATCAAATCTACTGTAGGTTTAAGCTGGTCTGAGATTGTTTCCATTTTCAGTTGTTTTCTTCTGTTATGGTTCAAAAACTTGCATTACTACTTCTTGTGAAGATTATTCACATTAAGGTAAAAAGTACCAGTGAAATCAATGACAAAACTACCTGCA